GTTTGCAATTGACAGGCAGGAAAGACGGCCTATCTTAATGTTTAGACCGAATGTTTTAATTAGACAAACTTTTCTTGGTCCTATGCCAAGAATATTAAAATGATGACCTTAATCTTATATAATCCGTAAAACATATAATATTTTTGGCTGGAGACTTCCGGTCTCATTCACTTCCATGTTCGTTATGCAGCTTGATGTTGCAAACTGACCTTTTCTTATTATATTATTCTACTTTTTATGTCAAGTCATGAACACAATTGTTTGTTTTCCGCCGTTTATTATTCCTAGTTATTTCTTTCATAGGCAACTGAATAGGAAGTTCTAAAACAAAAACAAAACAAGCACACTTCCATCTCACAGAATAAGTTCAATAAAATACATATAAACACATTTGGACTGCTTAATTTAATGACAGGCAGTCATTAAACAATCACCTATTGCACCTTCAATGACATTTTATTTGCATGCAATGAGCCGAGAGCAACATTTCAGAAGTTCCCACTAGTTCTACTTGACTTTATTAAAATCTGTAGGGTACATCATAATGGGTTTTAAGTTTGTGAAGCAAGTAAAAAATAAAGTCCCCTGAGAAACATATGGGAATAACTGATCTACCAGGCTGCGCACTTACACTCCACAGTAGATATTTTTGTTATTCTTGAAGGAAATCCAAGGGTTATGTTTATTAAAGACAGCTGAACCACCGAGCGTGTAGGATATGACTTCTGACAGAGAAGAGAGACAGATTTAGTAAGGGGCCCCTGAACTTGATGCTGGATGCCTGCCAACTGCACGTGCACACGATAAGCAATATGAACAGTTTGAGTGAGTGTGTGTATGAGTGTGAGAGCGAAAGAGAGAGAGAAGGGCAAACTTGACACGTGAGAACATGAGTGCAAAAACAGCTCTATTCTTGGAAATCAGAAACAGAAAACACACTTCTTACTGCTTCATGTTTTTAAAATCAGTAAACAATGGCCCTACAAGGAGAAGAATAAGAATTACACAATTCTTTATTCCTCGATGTAAAATCTAGCTCGTGCAAACAAAACCACACATGACCTACGAGATTAGGTCAAGTTTAATTGTATAAAACGTCACGGTTACAATAACTCCTCAAGTGCATGGCCTGTATACATAGTTGGTGAACTTTTGGCTGTGAATGACGTGCTGCGATCACTTCAACCACTGTAGCCAAATCTGCAGATTGTTCCTGGAACTACACTGGAACTCTTGGCACAAATACTCCCCCAAGATGCCGCTTGCTTGTGCCAGTGAGAGCTTGAAATGTGCCAAGCATTCAGCCAATAGTAAGCTAGAGTTTGCCACTGAGAACAGAACCTTGACACACTGGCTGGTCCCAGATTCAGCTGTTGTTTCCTCTTGTTTCCTCAAATCATAAACAGCTGCTTCAGAAATGTCCTCACAAACAAGGAATCTGCCATAAGCCCTTAACCCGCCACAGAAAACCCTGGGCTAATTTGTCAAAGCCATCCACACAATAACATAATTTGTTTAATTTCAGTTCAACTGAGCAATGAATGTGCTTGATGGCACAACTCTTAGAGAAATGGTTTACATGGAAATGAAATATTCCTCACCATTTACTCACACTCCAGTGGTTTTAAATTTGTATGATCAGAGAGAAAAAACACACATAGACTTGTCATTTATTTACTGTTACTCTTCTATGATTTGAAGGGTTTCTTTCAATTCGAACGGCATCTATGCTTATGTTCGTCTGTTTCTTTCTAATCCAGAGGTCTCCATAATCCTGGACCAGGCCGTATCCTGAGTAGAGGCTGAGGTTCTAATGAAGGAAGAGCATGAGACTGATTCCTGAAAGACCCCAGTGACAGACGAGTCTCCGCATTGATCCTGTAGGCCAGCCTGAACACCAGCCAGTGACCTACTCACACCTGCTGCTTCTCTATAATGACCGTCTAGCCTTCTCCAGCCTCCGGCACCTAGACTGCAGCTCTGCACAAAAAGTTTGGCCAGAGGGGAAATGGTTGCGCCCAACTGAGCATGGTTTCTCTTGAGGTTTTTTTTCTTTACTTTCATCAATTGGTGAAGTTTGTTCCACTGTCGCTACTTGGTTTGGGACTTGTAGAGCCGCCATCGATGGACTTTCTTTTCAGTGTTTGGACTTTCAGCAGTGAAAATTAAACCACACTGAACAGAACTAAACCGAACTTCAACTCTGAAAAGAAACTGGACTGACAAAGTTTCAATTTACTAAAACTTTTTTTTTTAAGCTGCCTTGACACAATCTACATTGAAAAAATGCTTTAAAAATAAATAATTGAATTTTATCCTCATATGCAAGTCACTTTGGATAAAAACATCTGCTAAATACAGTAAACGTAAAATGTAACCTTCGTTCTTCTCTCGAACACATAACAAAATACTATGGAAGTCAGTTGTTACCAGTTTAAATTTTCTCCATAGTACGACAAACAAATACTATTGAAGTCAATGATTAGCAGTTTCCAACATTTTGACCTCTTTTGTGTTCAACAGAAGACAGAAAACTCAAACAGGTTTGGAACAAGTGGAGGATGAGTAAATGATGCCAAAAGTTTAATTTTGAGGTAAAATATGCCTTTAAGAGCCCATTCCCAAACATCTATATTCCATTTGAAACAACATTTTTCAAGCCATCAAGTGGAAATAATATCAATTAGTTTAAAAGAGGTTCTGCAAATATCAAATAGTTAATCAAAAACCAAAAGAGTCAATCATTCTAATATAATTATAGCATTACAAAACAAATATAAAATAGATTACAGTCAGCATGAATCATATATTAATGTTTTATTGCATGTCATTTATTTTCCAGGCAGACATCAAGACTCCTCCCTGATAACCGAATCTACTTTTATAGGAAGATCCACATGCTTGAGTCAACGATACAGTTCAAAAGTGTGTGTGTGTGTGTGTGTGTGCGCGCGCTTTCGGATTTCACCCAAATAGCCACTTAGCGATCAGTCACTGTGACCGAGTACAAGACAAACCAGGTACCTAAAGTACAGCAGACATCACTATGGCCTAACCACAATTTATCAGTGTTCAACTTTTTTCAGCCTTTTTTCCGTCTAAACTAGAAGTCCAGCCAATGTGACAAAGCCACAACTAATGGCTCCATGTCCCATCGTTTTCAATTCTTTCCGTCATCCACACTGAAACAAGAAAAAAAAAATAATCGCTTCCATTCATTACTGCGCATGTGCACAGAAGACGACTTTACCTGCGTCACACCCACCTAGAGTTTATTTACTTTCCGTTTCTTTGAAACATTGCAGCAAAATTTCGCAATTCTCATCTGCTTCCGCCACTGAACAATAGCTCCTAGTAAACGTTCCATGCAATATGGCAAACCATTTTGACATTTCATCTATAAGCTGTCCTAGTATGTATTTTCTTGTTACTAGTAGTTTTTTTCAAATACTAGTATCTATTTAATTAAGTGCTAAATACTAGTGCCTATTCTTTAGATCCCAGTGCTTTTTAAAAATATACTAGCGCTGACTCATTAGACACTAGTTCTTTTTATTAGATACTAGTACGCATTCATTAGATACTAGTACCTAGTAAATATTTAATAAGCACTAGTATCTAAAAAATAAGTACTAGTACAAATAAAAAAATACTAGTATCTAATGAATGAGTACTAATGTCTAATGAATAAGTACTAGTATACTAGTACACTAGTACTAGTATACTAAAAATAATTACTATTATCTATTATTTAGCACTAGTACCAAATGATTAACTACTAGTGCCTAAAATATGTACTAGTCCTAGCTGGAATATATACTAGTCAAAACAACAGAATAGTTACTAGTCACTATTACAATGAGTACTAGTGTCTAATAAATAAGAACTGGTATCTATTTAATAAGTACTAGTATCTACCTAATAAGTTCTAGTATCTAATACATATGTACTAGCTTCTGCCTTCTATTTTAGAATTAAGAACTGCCTTTCTTTTGATGCTGAAAAAAAGCTGGTTGATGCAACATTTATGTCGATATAGGACTACAGTGATGTTATCTATATGCATGCATGTATCATCTCAACGTCTGCATGCACTGGATACTGTTTACCATGGTGAAGTGAGATTTATAACTAAATTTAAATCCTTTACTCATCACTGTATGCTGTATACTAGGGTAGGTTGGTCTGGTTGCTTTGTCCATTTGTAGCCTCAAGCATTGGCATATCTTTGTTTACAAATCTACACTGAGTTTACTTCCATCATATTTACAGAATTACATTTGTAAAAAGCCTGTCCTTAACTATGGCCTTCGGTCATGGGATATTTATTTACTGTCTGTTCCTAAAGTGCAGACTGAGATGGGGGAAGAAAGGCTTTTAAATACGCAGCACCTTTTGCAAGGAATAATCTAAAGTTGCAGTTGCAAGAATTGATTTCACTAAATGCAAAAAAATAAAAAATAAAAAAAATAAAATAGTATAATGATTTAGAAACTGAAATACAGGCTTGTGGATGTTTTGAATAGTTTGTTTGTCAATGTGTGATTCATGTTAACTGTCAATTGTTTTTTGTTTGTTAGACCCATATGACATGTATGCCTAACCTTGGCCAAGACACTCTTGTAAAAGAGGTTTTAAATCTCAATGTGTCTTTCCTGGTAAAATAAAGGTTATAATAATAACAGAAAGCATTCTAAATATCTTATTTACAATGTAATAACCAAGTTAGCTGAATTGGTCACATGACTAAAATGCGTGAGCGGTTTTAAAGCCTCCGGTTTCACAGTCCACACTGCTACATGAAAACGGCGTTTCAACTTTATCCACTTTGGACTGCGTTTTCAAAAATATATGTTTTTTTTTGGAAGGCCAAAATGGAGTAAAAGAATATGCACTAAAAGGTATTGGTCTGGACATGGCCTAATTAAAACAAAGGGTTTTGGACTCAAAGTTTCACCCTGAGTAGGACTACTCAAAAACTGTAAAAGTAAGAGTCTCACCTGACAGAATAATGTCATTGCGGAGGGCGCACACTGCATACTCTGATTTCGTGTACTCGGGATGTTTAGCAAGGGACGTCCACTCTCCCGTCACGGGATCGTAACATTCTGTGTATGGCAGATTGAACCCCCCCATCCGCTCACAACCTCCCACCACCACGATGACCTCAGAGAAACCAGTGGACCTGCAGAAAAGGAGGAGAAACAACATCTTAAGATAAGCACAGGCTCTGAAGTGGTGAAATAAAGAGATGATATCATCGGGAAGTGCTTCAGTTTCATTCCTGCAAAGGAACAATGAGCTCCTGCAATGACTCAAATCATAAATTATATCTTGCTACAGACTTTTTTTTTAACTGTTTACCCTATATAACAACCCTTTACTGTAATTTTGTTGTGAGATTTCTAATTTATAGACAATAAAAAGTGCATGTATTTAAATTATTAGCTCATAAAATAATGGAACTAATTTGTCTATCATGTTATTCTAATCCTCAGAGACCTTCGTTCATTTTAGGAACACAAATTAGGATATTTTAGATCTAATTTGAGAGCTCTCTCTCATTCGCCATAAACAGCAACAGTTCTGAAATGAAACAGTCCATGTGTCTATGGTGGTTTAACGGTTATAGGAAGCTCCAAAAACATTTGAGGAAAAAAAGGTAAAAAAGTGAAAGACACTGAAGAGAAAACATTAGCGAACAAAGACGTTTTTACAAATTTGTGGCACACAACAGTGTTCTTAGAGCTTTATATGATTACAGTTTAACTACTGCAAAGTCACATGGGATGTTTTTGGTTAATTTTCTGGACTTTGAACATCTTGTGTTTATGGAGGATAAGAAAGCTCTCAGATATCATTAAAATATATTATTTTTGTTCCAAAGATTGGTGAAGCTCTGGAATGACAATGCTGAGTAATTAATAACAGAATTTAAATTTTTAGGTAAATAAATTCTTTAATATTCTTAAAAAAAGTGAATGGACAACACAATCTCCCTGGAAAATAAGCTATCCCATACAATTAGACAAAAATGAGACAGATCTTTGAAAGAAAAGCAATCATAAAGACTTGCCCCTTGCACCAGGTCTAAACATTCAGTCAATAAAGCAAGGGTATAGACAACTTTACCACCAAATATTAAAACCGTAAATCCACCGCAAATCGTAAATCTATGAGATCTGTGCTATGATATTCTGATCCCCAAGTAAGTCTTGGGGCCTGTCCTAAAAACTGATTTATTTTTTCTTAAAAGAGACAGTTTAAACAAATATGAAATGCTGCTATATATTTATGTAACCTAAGGCAAAATGACTAAAAGTATTAAAGAAGATTTTTAGATAAAACTTTGTTCCAACGAATCAAGCAAATCAGAAAACTGGATAAACCAGTTCTGATGGGCCCAGTCACTCCTACTTGAAATGAGCCAGTTTACATGTTATTATGATCCTGTGATGCCAGGTTTGCCAACTCGTTCAACGCTTCAAGTACTGAAGGAAAACATTTCTACTCAAAAAGCACATGCACCAGTGTTTAAGACATGAATGAGCCAGGCAGAAAAAAAAGAGGCAAAAATAAAATCATTATGGTTTATCATAATTTATTAAAAAGGTAAGTGGAAGAAGTCTAGTTTATTCACTTTATAAATGCAAAAACTACATGTGTCTTGTCATTTTTGGTTGGTTGCTTGGGTGCATTTACGGCATTGCATGATTCTGTAAACAAACTGATAAATCAGTTATTTGACCCAGAAACAAACTATTCAGAAGAACATGTTTGCAAAAAGTAATCAGATTTCCCAATTTGCCCGAGGCCAAGCATTGCAGGTTATAATGTTTCATGCTTCATAAGAACTGTGTATTGTTAGAGCCACAGGTATTAATTTGCATTCTTGAATGCCTTTTTTGGATTCTCGTAAATATGATTACCATTGGCTTGATCCTTTTTAATCCTTCACTTTAAATTTACTGTAAGGCTTTATTACGTGACAAGCATGTATTTTATAATACATACATCAGTAAAATTCAATGTATTTGAGTTGAATGTGTCACTGAGAAATGAAGACACCAGCCATTTGAAATATTAGCGCACAATGCAACATTGTTTTCATTGAGTAAATGTATGTACACTAGGGCTGCACAATATTGGAAAAATCTGACATTGCGATATTTATTTTCTGTTATAAATGTTGCGATATGAATACAGTTTCACATAATTCATAAGACGGTTTCTTTTGGGGGGGGGGGGGTTCTAACAGTATTTAGGTACAGAAATTGAATAATCTTAATGCAAAACATACTTTTCTTACTTGGTTTTGTCTTGTTTGTAGGGCAAATATCTAAAAAATTCTTAGATCAAAGTGACAATAACGTTTTGTTTTTAACTTCAGAAGAAATAAATCAAAATGAGAACTTTTTCCTTAAAACAACCAGTGGGGTGAGTAAAATAGTCTTGTTTTCACTATGAAATGTAAATATTTGGATTAAAAACAAGATAAAAATTCTAAGTGAGAAAACCTTTTTTGTATAACTCATATAGATTCTGTGTAAACACAGTAATTAAATAAATTTCTGTAGCTGCAAAACGATATTTCGTGCAGCCCTAATGTACACTTGTGGTTTCTGAGGGTTGTATGTGTATGACTTTAAAGCACTAAATCCTTTTTAAATATGCTTTTCAATACAGACGCATGGGCAATATGGCATTTTTCTCCCAGCAGGGTGGAACATTAGGAAGCATGGTTAAACACTTTCAACCCCCAATGCAAGATACTGACTCCAAACACAGATAACGCCACCAGAACATAGATAATGCTTCTAAATACAGATAGACTCCCCATATTAGGATGCTGACTCTAAATACAGAAACTCCATATAAAGGTAATCGCCTCCAAGATAGTGCCTTTCCACATATAACTCCTACAAAGATCCTGTCCCAAAAATACAGATACTTCCTCCAAACACTGACATTTCCCTAATAAAAGACTGCCTACAAAACAAGACATGGCAATACTAAACAAAGACAAGATTTCCAACACAAAAGACCTCTTTTTTCTGATAAGAAATGTATAATGACTTCTTTGTTCATGATAGAGAGGGGAAACAACGCTAATTTTGATGAAATCTTGAGTGGAGTCTACCCATGCAAAGTCACCACTAATGACAGGAAGTTGTTATGTAGTTGGTATAATGTTCATGTGGATTTTCTGGTCTCGAGATAATGTATCCGTCCCAATGTTTTTTCACTTCCATGTACTCAGAAGTACAGTCACTAAGAAGTAATGATCATATAGAGTGTTGATCATGTGACAACTAATATTTTTAGCCATCATGTAAACTGTACCTGCGTGGTCTGGTACGTGGTGACATCATCTCATTGCCAAGTACGTGGTACCGACGTGCTTCATGCAGCAGCTGGTAACATTCTGGAGCATTCTGGATCAGTTTATCACCTTCCACCTGCAGGAGAGAAATTATCATCACACAATGATTGCTTGACCTCAAACCGGTTCCTGCATATATCTTCCTTGAGTCCAGCTATCTTGTTTAAATAATCTAGTTGTGTTATGAACAAGAAGAGCTTGACTTAAGTAGCACAAACATAAACACATCTGTTGATAGTCTTCAGGTGAACACCAAGACCTTGATTAGATGTTTCAGGTCTGTTTGCGTATCACTGTAGTGAAACTTGACAACTAGCTAAATTTTCAGTTCTTGGTTAATAACTGGTTTAATAACTCATGAAATATCCAAGGTGGAGCTTATTTTAAGTTGAGGACAAAAACAGGGCAGATTTCATCTTTCTTTAAGGCTTTTTACATCGCACTTAACCCAAAGTTATAATCACACTAAACACTATTTTCCCTCAGATAAAGAAACGTTTGCACTTGTAATTTAGTAGTGGGTATAGCACCACTTTTTACCTCAATTTTTGAATTCCTGCTACAGTTTTGCAGTTTTAAAGAGATCATCCAAAAATAAAAATTCTGACATTAATTATGTTGTTCATATCATGTTGTTCATATCCCCTGAAACTTTCATTCATCATCAGAGCACAAATTAAGATATTTTAGATCAAATCGGAAAGCTCCCTCATCCTCCATAGACAGCAACAAGCACCTATGGAGGATAAGAGAGCTCTTGGATTTCATCTAAAGTATCTTAATTTGTGTTCTGAAGATAAATGAAGGTTTCAGGGGATTGGAACGACATGAGGTTGAGACATTAACTAGTAATTAGACAAATATTTTGGGTGAACTTACCCTTTAACCCAACACAGCAGTGACAAACAACAATGCCCAAGGTAAACTATGTCTAGTGTGAATTGTAACATGCTATGCCATGTACCCACAGTTTAGAAGGGTGCAGGGTTAATTAGTAAAAGTCTTTTTGATTGCAACCAAGAGGTGCAGGATTGAAAATATTTTTGAAGGCCAAACAGTTTTGGATTTTAATTTTTCTAATTCCATCGCCCTGTAGTCAATGGACTTTATGGATGCTTTTGTGGTTAAATGCCTGAATTAATGTCCGCGTTTAACACAGCCTAGAGTTTTTATGTTCTATACTTTAATTTCCTCTAATTTCATTTTCCCTCCGCTTAGTCCTTTACTTATCAGGGTTTGCCACAGCGGAATGAACCACCAACTATTCCAGCATATGTTTTACACAGAGGATGCTCTTCCAGTTGCAACGCAGTTCTGGAAAACACCCATACACTCTTGCATGTCCTTGGACTGTGGGGAAAACTTAGAGCAACCATAGGAAACCCATGGAAACACGGGGAGAACATGCAAACTCCACAGAGAAATGCTTACTGACCTAGCCGGGACTCTAACCTCTGACCTTCTTGCTGTGAGGCGACAGTGCTAACCACTGAATCAACGTGCCACCCTTGCTATGGCAAAAAATTCTAACTTTTAGAAAAACAAACACAGTTGTTGAAAGCTGAAGCTTACTGATGACATTCGGGTCATGTGACTATATGGCGTAGTTTATAGCGATTTTTAGATTTTTTTTTTTTTACTTCTGCTGATTCCATACAGGTTTCAAAATTTCAAATAGAAATCTAAACAGAATCTAAAAATGTGGTTGTGCACAGGGTTTATTATCTGCAATAATCCAAAGGTCAAAAACAAAAAAATCTATTGGGTTTTTGTTGAAGAAAAACATCACTGAATGCACCATTTTCTCATTTCCGAGTTTCTCAGAAGCAGAAGTTGTCATAGTGTGGTAAACATAGAGCGCAGTGAATGGAAGAGTAAAACAAATTTTTTTTCTTTTTACAATGCTATTCCCTTAAAAAAAAAAAAAACTACATGATGATGGTGTTATCAAGACTTTCAAAAAAATGAAAACAAAACTGTGTGAGACGGCAGACAGAAGAGAGAACAATGTTATATGTACTGTCCTTCCCATACACTTTGCGTTTTAAATGCCTCGCACAAGTAATTCCTTAATTTTTTTGTAATTTGATACAAAGATGTTATAATACATATAAATGTTTCTCAGTTTTTTTATCAGAATATTAAAAACTTTCAAGGACTTTCATCTATAACTTTTTTTTTCGCTTTGAGCATTATAAACTCTGGATGGTGGATAGTAAAGCCCAAAGTGTCTACTTTCCAAAGATGCATGAACTGTAAATGTAGACTAAATTATTCAGCAACTGTTACTGAGAAAGTGCCTCAGAGGGTGAGGGAGAAAAGGACACAGATAGTCTTGGAAGACTTTTTGCATTAATGTGGTTTTGCATGCTATGCTATCTTCCTCAAATTTGAAATATAAACTCATGAGACACTTGGCCTTTAAGACATTTTTTTAGATTATTTAAGACTGCTTTTATGTGTTTGTATAAAAAAACTAATTGTATGAAAAAAAACTAATATATTGTACACAGTAATTTTCCTCTTCTCATTACCACATAATGTATAACATTTTATATATTTTTTAACATTGAAACTTTCTAGATGAATCATAGTAAAGCTCAAAGTGTCTTCTTTCCAATGAAACTTAATATTTGTGTGTAGCTCACTGGGGTCAAGATAGAACTGTTGCTATTTTAAATTAGGTAGGTGTAAATGCCCATAAACAGGGTGAATAAAATGCGTCATAACCAAGGATGCTCCGATCGATAGGCTGGAGATTGGTATCACCGATAACCACATTTACTGACTCGACTGATACTCGCTGATCTGGCCAATCTCATTAACCGATCGGAAGTGATTGTTTACACGCAGACGAAGACACGTGCGCTCCAGGTTATAAATACAGCACCTACAACACATGAGGAGGGAAATTATGTGTGAAGGCATGAGTTATTGCTGTGCTTACATTACAGCAGCTAAAACACATACAGATGCAGTGCGACCATTGATGTGACTCATGACAGTAATACTCTCTTAGTTGTTGCAAGTGCAGTCATTGTATATTCAGTGTTTTGAGCTGCTCTGATGTGAGCAGAGCAATCTCCCCTATCTTGTGCCTCATCCAACCCTTTAGTTTTTCCGGAAGCTCCGCAAGTCTCCAGCATATTCATAGCGGCTCTGTGACGCCTGCAAATTTGTTAAAGTACCTTGAAATAATAGATAAATAAAACTTTTTGAATATGTATTTTTAACAAGACTATTTATTATTTTAACTTCTTGTAACATACTTATTGCAATAAATACATTATGAAGCTTGAAGCATCAGAATCGGTACACGGTATCGGTCGATAACTATGACAAGGAGTTGGTACTCGGTATCGTTTGCAAAAATCTTGATCAGAGCATGTCTAGTCATAACTATATATAACCCACTTAACTGCATTATTTATTAAAAGCAACTCAGCAGAGCATTCCTGAATTTGCTCTAAAACGAATTTGAATGTGCCACTCACCGTCTGTACAAAATAGTTTGGATGTAGCAGAGGCAGTCGAACATGTTGAAGAAGATCTTTAAGCATGGGTCTACGGTACTCCACTCCATGGTAAACCCATCGCATCACTGCCTCGAAAACCACCTCTTCCCTGCAAATGGACAACTCATCACTAGCCAAGTATTCCTCCAGCTCGTCCTTGCGGAGGTCTTGAAACTCCTCATGCTGAGCCACTTCTGGAAAGTTCAGCAAGGCGAAAGTACGGCAACGACTGGCCAGCTGTTTGAGAGAGTGGGCATCTGCAAAGCGCTGGATCCCGAGGCAGTTGCAGGGGTCCAGTTGCTCTTCCAAGAATTTTGCACAAGCATCCCGCAATGTGGTGATCTGGAAGAGGCTGGAGGTCTCAAAGAGGAACTGGACGTTAAGCGTGGTGATACAGGCACGACCGGTGTAAACGTACTGCAGGAAGGTGTCCATAGCGTCCGCCTGGATGCCGTTGATCTCCACCACCATCTCCCGACTCTCCCGGTGGTCGTTGCAGAACATGGCACGAAAGTAGCTGCTGCAGGCTGACAATACAGCACGATGACATGGGAACTCGCGGCCCTGGACGCTGATGATCACGTCTGTAAAGAGGCGACTGTCACGGAACTCGTTGAAGACTTGTAAGACGCTCTCGGAGTGAGAGGAGCCAGAGGAAAAGTTGAAAACATCACTCAGGGTCTTTGTCTCCATCTCAAAGACTTTGCGTTTAATTGCTGGGGATTCTGGGACACCGCCAGAGTTCTCATGATTTAGACGGCGACCCAAAATGAGCACCATGACTGTTATCGGAAAGGAAACCTTCACAAACTTATAATCACTGCAGGAAAACCATCAACACCTGTAGAAGAACAACAGTTGTGATTAACAAACGCTACATTAGATGGATTCAATGCTAAAAAAGGGTCTACTTACAACAGAAACACTGCTTATTAGGAATTTTTAATACAAAAAATGAGGTCTTAACGCAGTTCAAAATGTGTAAATAACCCCAAAACACTGGTATTATAACTGTAATACACTTAAAAATAAGAGTAACAATCGGTCACAAAGGTCATGACAACTAAAATAAAAACAAAAAAAAACAAACATGATAAAACTAATAACCACTTTTACACAATCATGACAGAAAATAAAGGCATTGGGTTTAAAAAGTATCTGTAAAGGTTAATAGAGCACACTGAACACACTGGAATACGTCAAGGCATGTGACTGGTAGAAAAAACTAAATAAAATCTATTCCTCAAGGCAACAGTGCACAGATACAAAAGCTGGAGTTGAGAGATAGAGTGAGTGAGAAAGCAGAAAGAGCTTGCGCAATCTTTTTTTTTAAGTCACTCAGGTTTGTTTTGTTGTGGAAGTAAAAATAAAGGAACATGAACTGTTGCTCAATATTTCCTTTATCAGCTGAATCAGTTGGCGAGCAAAACATGCCCCATGCGGACTGAATGATGACATCATGTAAATGAAACCAATTATAGAAGACTTCTACTCCATAAAAGGCTTTAAACCACAGATAAATTATTTCCAAGTATTTAGAGAGACCACCTTTATAAATTATTAGGGTAAAGTTTGTTCCTATATTGTTTACCATGGTACTTTAAATATTCGGCTTGAAATCCCACGCAAGTATGACTTTAAAAGAACATTAGCACTAATGTCGTGTAATCTTCACACACTATATAATTGAATGTGAACAATGTTGTACTTTGAAAGCCATTGGCTGCTAATATGATTTAACTATTTAGAATTTGCAAAGAATATTTTTATGAAATTATATTATTAGGGAGAAAGTCCGAATGTCCAAATATAAAACTAAATTTACCACAATTCATCAAATTGTCTGCTGGACAATCCAATGCTCGTTCTGGGTACTGATGCTGGTCCTTAGATGTTTTACCACAGTATTCTTAGACATTCTCATACAGATTCTGAATAGACAGTTTTAAAACTTTTACCTGCCAACTGAATTTTTATTTAAGAAATACCTCATGCAAAGGGAAAAAATAGCATTAAGTCAGAATTACATACATCCACAAATACTGTATATTAATAAACATATTTTTTATATAAGCAATAATAAGTAATAAACCTGGAATTACGTTTTGTCTCGAAGATATATAATCCTTGCATGATTGAGGTAAAGTTGGTTTTATATTCCCACATTCGTTCAGTGACAACTTGTAACACGCTCTCTATTGTTTACCATGCTATTTTGAATATGCGGTCTGAAATCACATGTAAAATGACCTCAAAACAACATCAGCACTATTTAATTGATTGTGAACAGTGTTGTACTTTGATAGCCATTGGCCGCTAACATGATTTCCCCATGTAAAATTTGCAAAGAATACTTTTCTGAAAATATATAAAGGAGAAAGTATGAATGTTTGAATATAAAACAAACTTTACCTCAAGTTATAAATAGGCCTACTGGACAATCAGCCTAATTGCTGGTTCTGGGTGCAAATACCTACCCAGGTACCCAGGACAACTGTACTGATGCTGGCCTTAGATGTTATGCTATAGTATTCCAGGACTAGGTAACCGGCCAGGCCATACATTTTTATATAGATTCGGAATAGACACAGCCTTAAAAACTTTCACATGCCAACTAAATTTTTTATTTAAAAATACCTTATGCAAAGAAAAAATATTATTAACACAAAACCACATATATCTATAAACACTGTACATTAATAGAAATACTTATATATAAGCAATAATAAATAGTAAACCTGGAATTACGTTATGTCTTGAAGATATATAATCCATGCAGGATTCCTAGGTACCCAGGAGAACTGTACTGATGCTGGTCTTAGATGTTGTACTATAGTATTCCAGGACTTGGAAACCGGCCAGGCCATACATTTTCATCTAGATTCTTAGAACTTAAAACTTTGACCTCTTAACTGAATATGTTATTATAATTTGTTTTTGAATAGTTATTAAAAACACCTCGTGCAAAAACAATATTATTAACACAAACCTATACATCTACACATACTGTATATTAATAAACATATTTATATATAAGCAATAATAAGTAATAAACTTGGAATTACGTGATGTCATGACGATATAATCGTTGCATGTTAAAGCGCCATAACGTGACGCAGATTAACTTACACGATACATTCGTCAACAACGGACGCTTTAAATGTTCATCATATATCGCATTACACAGACCTGATAATCTCAAACATTAGTCTTTCCAGGTTAAAAAGCAAAACAATACATGGAATAATTATTTTTCTCACCTTATCCCCAAGAGACCAACTTTCTGGAAAACATTAAAAATAACAGCAAGGGTTAAAAATCCTCGAAAGTAGTCGCTGTTAAACAAATCCGGTTTGTTTCTGAAAAGAAATCCATGAGTATGAGCACTTGTGCATGTCAGCGTGGAGTTTTCTTTGTTAACGTCTGTCTCTTAACCGCTCTCTGCGTGTTCTGGCACAAAGAACTCAAAACACAGCTCTGGGCTTCGGTTATGTCAGCTGTTCTCCGTGGTGTTCAGGGGAAATGTAGTTCTGTCATCGTACAACCTCCCATTGAGACAAGCAAAGGAAAACAACATATCCCATAAGTCCACGCAGAAGAATTTCCATGTGGATGGCTGTTGTTTGCAAACAAAAACCAGACGGTTTGTGTCATGTTGTTGTCGTCACGCAAAGTTTAACAGAATTTGCATCTTATTACATTGACGTATATTGTAAATGTTAATACAATAACATATAATATCGATATCTAAAAGCGACACATTATCCATTATGCTTTAAATGCACATCTTTGTACAGTGCATTAGTATTACTAATTAATTAGCACATTTGTCGTTCTTTCTGTAACTGTAAAATGTCAACCTGATAGTAAAAATACAACTGTTTTAAAATATAGATATTAAACAGGTAGTTCTCTAGACATTTGGAAACGGAAAAACCCGTGACGTATTACTAGAAACTTGATCTTCCTTGTGTTAACTTACCATCATGGACTTGAATAATATACTTAAATAATATGTAGATTATGACATATGACTTATGTTATTATATGCATTATATATACGTTTTGTGAAATATGCATAAAAATAATTAATTTTAATGTTTTATTTAAAACGACAAGGAAAAACAATCAGCCTTTTTAAAAGACGCCACCAGCTCCATCTTGTGGACATTAACCATGCAGTGTTTCGCGCGCACATTTTCTGTCATCGACTGGATAGCTCATACAGGTTAGACACAATATTTTACACATACTACAGTATTAATAATGAATAATTTGTAATCTTCTTCGATCAACGATTCATTTGAACACCAATGTAGGCTATGAAATTAATTTCTCAGCAGCACTGCCATTTTTTTTATCAAGACACATTGAGAAACCATTTTGTATTTGTTCTAACGTTAAATAACTTTTATCAATACAAACATCGGTAGTTTAATACATTTGTTTTCATACACTTCTCCAACATTGCAGATAGTTTGAATTTGTCTCCATTAATATTTACAAAACCTATTTTAGGTTTCAAGATACAATAAATGAAGGAATCTGGTTTTCGAAAATAACAAAACAAGCAGCATTTGTAAGTACAACTCGTAATTCATAACATGTACACTGTTAAAACAGTGGTCTTAGAGACCGTTCACCCAAAAATAAACATTGACTCACTATTTACTAACCTTCAATTTACAAACACAGTAGAAATGCTGGCTTCCACACAATTGATTTGTTTAAAGACATCATGAATGAATAGCTTATAGTTTTTACAAATTTGAGTGGATTAAACATAAAACAATTAAGTTGTTAATAAAATTTGTTCTCATAGCCTGGCATTACTTTTTTATCAAGACAAATAGACAAATCATTTTGTATTTAAAGAAACTTATCAATACAAACATACTGTAGGTGGTTTAATCTATTTATTTTCATACACTTCTTAAACATTTCCGATAGCTTGAGTTTGTCTCCATGAATATTTACAAAACCTATTTCAGGTTTCAAAATACAAAATCAATGCAAATAAAAGAATCTGGTTTTCGCAATTAAAAATGGCACCATTTGTAAGTAGTTGCAACTCGTAATTCACTATATGTACTCTGAAAAAAAACTAACAGTTTTAGAGACAGTTCACCCAAAAATGGTTATAATGCCAATTCTCCATAATGGACAGATTTTACGCTGAACGTCATCATTACTTATTTTTCTTTTAAAACAACATTCTCAAAGTGTTATCAACATTTTTATGCCCATACAAAACAATCTAATTTCTTCTGTCCAAACACGAACAGAACGTTTGTTTATTCCTACATATTTATTTCTTTAACATGCAACATTTGAGTTTAATCTTTCAAAAAATGTATAATAAACTCATTAATAGTCAAGCAAACAAATCATTGCAGATAATGTACGCTGTAAAAAAATCCTCAAAATTCCGTCATGTTGTCCCAATACAAATAAGTTAACTTAATAATTTTTACAAATTTAAGTGGATTGAACATAAAACAATTAAGTCTCCCCAATGACATCTGAAGAATTGTGTTGTTTGGGCTCATTGTGAATAAGTAGTTTGAACAAGCAACAAAATATTTTTTTGAGTGAACCTTTATGACTTTTTTTTTGTTAAACACAGAAAGATATTTTGAAGAATGTTAGTAACTATTGACATCCATAGTAGGAAAAATAAATACTATGGGTTGTTCAAAGTTTGACTTTTTATTCACAGGCAAAATTTAAAGATAAAAGAAATTAAAGGTTGCCAGATTCCAGCATAAAAAAGAAATATTTTTTATTCAATAGAAGAAACTCAAAAAGGTGTGAAAAAGGTTGAATAAATAACATGAAAAAACATTCAACAACTTGACAAGCTCCACAGATTTTAGGTTCACTCAATTTTGCTCTTCAAAATATTATTATTTTTTTTGTTATTGCTGTTTTTATTATTATCCTTATTATTAGTTGAACCAAATACTCAAACATTTAAATTAATAATCATGGCTCAATTTGTGTTTATTGGTCAAGTCGAGATTAGCTTTTCTGAATGTTCATATTGAAATTATGCACTGATTTAATGTTATAAGATACATTTATGTAGACTTAATATAAGTAGCCCTCTTAGCCATACAAGTATTTTTCCTTAAAGGGATAGTTTACACAAAAATGAAAATTCTGTCATTATTTACTCTTTCTTTTCTCATTTCAAATCTTTGAGTTTCTTTCATCTGTTTAACACAAAACAGATATTATTAGAAATATGGCAAACATGTATATTATGCAAATCAATGGTTACCAATTTTCAGCTTTCTTCAGAACATATTTATTTGTGTTCAGCAGAAAAAAACTCATAAAGGTCTGAGTCAGGTTACCACTTGTCGGTAAGTAAATAGTAAGTACATTTCCATTTTGGGGTGAACCATCCCTTTAAGAACATTAGTTTAAGCACATCTGATAGAAGATAAACATGAGCCAGTTTCTGAATAAAGCATATCAACTCTGGAATTGACTTTTAGTTTTTTTAATTTTTATTATTTAATGTGGGCGATCAAGAAGGTCTCTGGTTCGAGTCCCGGTTGGGTCAGTGAGAGGGGTCTGAATGCAGACCTGGTGCAGGATCTGAGCTGCATCCAATTCTTTTTATTGGGCTCACCTAACCCCACCCCTAACCCTACCAATCACAGTGATGTTATTCGCTCCATTTAAGTGCATTGTGTCTGACATTGCATTGCTGAGTGATGCAATCTCATCTTGCATCATAAAGGCTGCATCCAGATATTATTGGGGTCAGTTGGCATTTCTGTATGGAGTTTGCATGTTCTCCCTATGTTGGTGTGGGTTTCCTCCATGTGCTCCGGTTTCCCCCACAGTCTAAAGACATGCAGTATAGGTGAATTGAATAAATTAAATTGGTCGTAGTGTATGAGTGTGTGTGTAAATGAGTGTGTATGGATGTTTCCTAGTACTGGGTTGCAGCTGGAAGGGCATCCGCTGTGTAAAACATATGCTAGATAAGTTGGCGGTTCATTCCGCTGTGGCAACCCCTGATGTATAAAGGTAGCCGAAGGAAAATTAATGAATAAATAAATGATTGATAGCCTTAGAGTTTTTAATACCAAAACACACAGTGTAGATACATAACACCATAATAAACACATCAAATGTATTTATAATAATGTAATAAAGTCAATTTCATTCATATCCTTGATTATTCTCACATATTATTCTTACAAACTACACAGTTGAGCATCAGTACAGCTTACTCCTTTAAAAAGTTTCATCACAACAAACCCAACATCCCTCTCAAATGTCTTCTCCACAGGTTTGAACGCGCATCTTTATATCACAGGTGTGATTTCTGTGGGTCTGTTCAGCCGAAAGAACTGTATCAAAACCCTGCACAGTTCTCTATAGCGCAGCCCGTACAGATACGGAGCAAAGGCTTTGGGCAGGACCAGCAGGACGTTACACACCACCAAGGACATCCACAGGTTTGCTCGGAGGTCCACGGTCTCACTTTTATGGCAAAGCATCAGCTCAATCACTAACACCAGCAGAGGACAGAAAGCCAAGAAAAGGTGGAGATAATGAATAAGAAAAGTTCCTCTAGCGCGGGACCAGGCCTCGCCTTTCCACACGCCTGAGGGACGGGTGCAAAAGTAGAGGATGAGATAACCAGACAACACCAAGAGGAGGATGAAGATGATACCAGTGATCGTCAGGAGCATGGACACGTGCAGAGGGCGAAAATGGCTAACGGTTAACACAATCAGCAAAGGTAAGGAGCAAAGATGGAGGGCGCAGGGACCTGTACTATGGTACCACAAAAACATCCCAACAGCAGCTGCGGGAAAAAAGACTGAGATGGCCCAGATGATGGCAACTGCTCCGTAGGTTCTCGAGACGGGCCAAACTGCAAGGTAACGAAGAGGTGCCAACACAGCAAAGCAGGTATCCAGCACCATTGCTGTAATACTGAGCACCCCACAGCTGTATAGAATTGCTGATAGGAACAGCAGAACAGCACACGGCCACTCGGTCATCAGCACACCAGCCGAATTAATGCAGGCACTCAAGATGATCATGCAAACGAAGAGCAGGTCGCTGAAGAGCAGATTGGCCAGAAGAAGGTATCGGGTTTGCTGCCGCAGGTTGACGCGGGACAGGATACGCACTAGAAGAACTGGAGTGGTTAACAAAATAGCCAGCAATGCCAAAATGGGGCACACCTGAAGCACCCTCATGTGGCAGGGAGGGAGGAATCCATGCCATTCATGCGCAAACATCTCCGCCGGGCTTTCTGAAGAGTTCGAAGAATTGGAGGAAAGCCTGTGAAGCTCAGCCCGACCTGATTTGTTGTACCAATTGCCAAAGGAACAAAGCAGAGATAAGAAAAGATCCTCCGCAACTAGGTAGAAACGCTCAGACTTTCCCTCCATCAAGGTTTCCATCTCTTGGCATGTGTTTGTGCATCTAATCCAGGACAGAAAGAGCAATGGATTGGTACGGGTAAATGCATCTCTCTCTCTCTCTCTCTCTCTTCTTTTTTTTTTTTACAGACAGTGGTGACAGGTGTGGATTTGATGGTTTCCTTGGAGATGGAGAAACAGGTAAACAGCACTTCACAGCTAAATGGATCAGAATGACACTCTGGGATTTGCACCAATGCATAAATATTGATATGCCTTCCTAGAATCCGAAGTATTGCATAACATTTACACTGTTATTTTTGGAACTGATTGACTGTTTAACTTGGAGGACTAAGTGCCAGACTGGTTAAACATTGAGCGCTTGAGGAAATCGGAGAACAGAAAAAAACACAATCCAGTAAAAAAAAAAACTATAATGTAAATTTATTTGTTTTACCAACAGAACAAAACAACATTATCATATTGACTTTTGCCCACATGAGTTTAAATCAATATTGTGAGCATGAATAACAACATGTACATTGTAAAAAAAAGTCTTTAGCTCATGATTCATGGGTGTTTTCTGTTTATGTGTGCTTCTGAATCACATTAATTTTATGTTAAAAAATATAACAACTTGATTTTGTTGACCTTTTCTGAAGTTTGAAACAATTGATTGAACAAGAAATAACACAGGGGTGAGGCAGTGGCGTAGTATGTAGAGCTGTCGCCTCACAGCAAGAAGGTCGCTGGTTCGAACCTCGGCTCAGTTGGCGTATCTGTGTGGAGTTTGCATGTTCTCCCTGCCTTCGCGTGGGTTTATTCCAGGTTCTCCGGTTTCCCCCACAGTCCAAAGACATGCGGTACAGGTGAATTTGGTAGGCTAAATTGTCCGTAGTGTATGAGTGTGTGTGTGTGAATGTGTGTGTTGCGGCTGGAAGGGCATCCGCTGCGTAAAAACTTGCTGGATAAGTTGCCGGTTCATTCCGCTGTGGCGACCCTAGATTAATAAAGGGATTAAGCCGACAAGAAAGTGAATTAATGAAGAAATAACACAAATGAAAATAAATATGTGCAATAACAGGAAAAGGAATGGCAACCGGTTTTTGTTCCAATATCAATATCAATACAATGTCAATACACGGACCACTTTGCACAGCAGATATTAAGCTCTCATAATGCAATTCGAAAGTGTAAATAATGAGAAATCATACCTGGGAGATTCTCACAAAAATAATAAAGATAGAAAGCTAAAATCATTTAAATAAGCCTTAGTCGCTTTAGGATTTTCCAAAAAAAAATCTTGGTCTTAGATGGCACAAAATGTGCTTTATTAATAATACATTTTAATAGTATTACTATTATTCTTGTATGTAATGTAATGTGTATTTATATAGCGCATTTTTTGCGTATGGCCATACACTTTACAATCATAGGAGGGGGTCTCTCCACACCACCACCAGTGTGTAGTACCACTTGGATGATGCGACAGCAGCCACAGGACAGCTGCGCCTGTGCGCTCGCCTCACACTAGCTATAGGTGGATGGGGATGATTGAGAGGCCATGATGGGTGAGGGTTAATAGAGGAATTTGGCTGCAGAGAGAATTTTTAATGACCACAGAGAGTCAGAACCTCGGTTTAAAGTCTCATCCGAAAGACGGCCCTCACTGACATTATGGTGTCCCTTTTACCATCCTGGGGCATTTGAACTCACTCAGACCGCAGGTTGAGCGCCCCCTGCTGGCCTCACTAACACCACTTTCAACAGCAACCTAGTTTTCCAATGTGGTCTCCCATGCAGGTATTGACCAGGCCCAGCCCTGCTTAGCTTCTGAGAGTAACCGGCCATAGACTGAGGGGTGATATCTGATTTAAAAATTTTCCATGATGCCTGCAGGCTAATCTTCATAACGATTATGAAATTTCTTTGGAAAATATTAGGATTAATTACGTTTTTAAAAAGATTGGAAAATAGATTAGATTTTTTTGTTGGACACATTTTGTGAGATTCCCCCTGTTACACATGATATATTGTTATGTTATGATGAATAAATGCACATATTATAACGTTTTTTTAAATAATAAGAAAATATAAAAATGTTTTCATTTAAAACTAAATATAGAATATTTATTTCGAGATCCCTTACCAAATGTTGCTTAAAGTCCTCGTGAACCGAAATCTGCGACAGTTCTACTTTTTGTAATGTGACGCAGTTGCTAGAGAAATGGAATATTAAATGAGCAAACAGTGTGCGTGGCTTATTTTTTTAAAACCGTGGGCTAATTGGATATTGTAAAGTAGGCATTTCATTCAGAAGGATCAGGTTTTAGGAGAGTTATTACAACCTAACAAACATCTACTCACCATTTTTGTTTATTGTCAAAACTGACAGTTGGAGCAACGTTAGCCTCAAAGTCACGTAATCTGATAAAAAACAAACAAACAGGAAGTGCTTTTCAGATTTCAATTAAAGATTAGAAGGGCAAACTATTTATTTCTTTATGATATGTACAGATGAATTGTTCACCACTAACCTAAAGGTCCCATGAAATTAAAATAAGTCTTTTAGATGTTAGTATCAGTATTGTTCATTTTTAGGATATCTATAAGCTAGTGTGCTTCAAAACAGTGACAATATTCACGTTTTAAAAATATAAAACTGATATAAACATATGAAGTAAATAAATATAGTTTGTCTCTTCCACCTAAATGGATCAACGGTTTTATTCACGTCACTTCATTCTACAGATTCTCATAAAATCTTGACCAATCAAATGCTCTCTTGCATCTGACATGCTCCGCCCCCTTCAAGCCGCTTCTCATTTGCTTTTTATTAGATGCACTTGAGCTCAACCACTCTCACTGGCAGAGCTGATATTGGCTGTTTATTTTAAAAGGGGAGGAGCTACACTATGTCCCATCCTCTCTTCGTGTTTCAGATAACGTCAAACATCGAATAAAAATGCACATTTCAAAGCACCTCATGGGACCTTTTAACTGAATCCTCCAATGACAGATGCAGTTTTTTTTCCAATATATTTTCTGTGTCAAGTCCACCTCTCTAGGCCGCACTCCTCTGGCTCTGATGTCTGGTTTTCCACAACACCTGCTGGACGGTCTTGTAAATCTCCCGATAGCGCAGGACGTACAGGTAAGGCGTGCAACAGCGCGGCAGAAGCATCAACACACACATGTTCACCAAGTTAATCCAAACTCCCAAATCATCCTTGGCTTCTCTCTTTAACAGAGCCAACTCAACCGCAAAAACCAAAGCAGGAACAAAATACATGATGAGTAACAAAGTGTGCGCCAAAAGCGTCATACGAGCCCTCGAATACCGACTTCGCCATATCCCGGAAGTCCTGGTGATGATGTAGAGATGGATGTAGCAGTATAAGATGAGAGCAGTGCAGAGGCTGACGGCGATAATAAAGTACAGAGGAACGCCAACCTTCAGCTTCTCTTCCAACGAGTGCAAAGCGATCAACACCAAACACACCGGCCGGCTCTGCTGGTCCTTTCCCATCACCACCTCAAACATCACCAATAGTGAAACCGGACACACAGCCGCAATCACCCACATGCTCATAATGATCTTCCTGGCCCGGGATGGCGGGAGAATCTCTTTGTAACGTAGAGGCCAACGTACCGCTACGTACGTATCGACGACCATCAGTGTGACGGTGAGTACAGATGCACTATATGTCATTACCATGCTAACCATCATAAACTCACACAGAGGGGCGGGCAAGTGAAGGCCCACCGAATTGCAGGACACTATCGACAGGTTTACGGTGAGGAAGAGCATGTCAGCGAAAAGGACGTTAGCGAGGAGCAGATAGCGGGTTTCTTGACGTAGCGAAGGAAAACAGAGTACGCAGAGGGATAGAACGGGATTGACTAGCATTGTGACGGAGGTTAGCAGAACCGTGGGGATGAGGAACATGTCCATGTTTCTGCTCTCCATAATGATGTACCAATCTGCAGAGATGTTGACGATGAAAGGCTGAATCATGTTGACGTCCGAGCCACTGAGATAAACCGGTAAGGTGAAGGATGGTCGCTTTTATGGATGGTGGAGCACATATATAGTTTCTCGACCTTAAGAAAAAACAAACAAACAAACATGAGCGCAGAATTATGAACATCACCAAGATTCAAGATTTTATTTTGAACATAAGGTATCAGTGCTCGGGAAAAGTTACTGTTAAAGGGGACCTATCAAGCCCCTTTTTAGAAGATGTCATACAAGTCTCTGATGTCCCTAGAGTGTGTATGTGAAGTTTCAGCTCAAAATACCCCTTAAATATTGTTTTATAACTCTTTAAAACTGCCCCTTTTAGGCTTTGAGGCTTAATTGTGCCATTTTGATGACTGTCGCTTTAAATTCAAATGAGATTGTGCTCTTTTCAAAAGAAGGCGGAGCTACAAATACCTATGTGTCACCATAGTGGCAGATTTAAAAACAAGACTTTCTATGCTAATGAGGGAGTCACTAAGGGGCGGGGCTTTCTCCCTCTGATGACACATACGAAGGGAGAATGCCAATCAAAGTGTTTCTACAGACTGTTTTGATGAAGTGTGATTATAAAAATAATAGTAACACATTTTTATAATTAGAAGCTGGCTATATATTTACAGACTGATGCCACACAACTGTGTTTAAACCCCTTATTAAAGTGATTTTTGCATAATAGGTCCCCTTTAAAGGTAATAAACTGTAGTTTTCACATTACTTCTTTAAAAAGTATCACTTATCACTAGTTACTTTTTTTAAGCGTCCGTTACTTTAATGTCATTTTTAAATCTTTCTTGTTTGTAACATTAAAAAACGTAGTTTTTTTTTTATTTGACAAATGTAAGGCACTTTCACACCAAAGTGGCATGAGTAAAAAAAAAATTTAAGTAAATAAACTTCAGGTTGAAGGAAATCTAAATTTATGTCTGTATTGTTAAGGGCCAAGGCACAAAACTTACTGTAGTGCCGCCTTTCTGAATTGCATGAAATTTCAGCAATGATTACTTCTGGTTATTCTTTTTAAGGGATACTGATTTGTTTGTGCATTTAAACTAGAACTACAGTCAGTATCATGTTTACACATCTGCGCTTTCTCCTGATTTTACTCAACGTGGAGACAGGAGAGCCATCGGTTAATAAATGGGAAAGCAACGTATCATATGATCTTTAAGCACTTTGGATGAGGCTTCCTATAAATGCATTCAATCAAAAGCAAATTTGATGTAATTTAAAAACCAGGAATAAATATTGACTTTTGCTGCACTGCAAAGATTTTTGTCTGTGCATTCAAATGTTCTGTAAAACAGGAATTTCCCGTCTCCTAATGCTACCGGCAACAGACTAACACTTGTAATGCAAGTTAAAAAACAAATTGCAAAAAAATCGAATAACATTTATTCTTTACTAAATACTAAATTTGCAACAAATGACCCAAAAGCAAAATATGAAAAATGTTTCTTTCAAATATGTGGAAAAACTGTTTTAAACTATGATGTATTTTGTATTTACAAAGTTTTGTTTCCTTTCCAACACTTTGCATTTGTGTCAAATATTTACATAGCTCTTCCATGTTAAACTGAACTTCAATGTATTAGCAGGGATAAATGATCGAATATCTCAATCATCTACAGAAGAACTTTATTTTGAAATTCTGTCATCTTTTACTGAGCATCAAGACATTCAAATCTTGTATAACCAATTTTATTTTTTTTTTATCTTTTTTTAATCTGACGTCTCTTTTTATTAAGTTAATGGGTCAATTACATTCTTCAAAATATCTTTTGTCAGTTTGTTCTATGAAAAAAGTAAAATATTGAAGTGAGTAAATAGTGAAAACAAACTAAATTCTGCCCAAAATATTCATCTAAATCGGTGGTTCTCAAACTTTTTTCACCAAGTACCAATAAATTGTGTCTCCAAAGTACCACCATAATGACCAGTATCGAAATACAATAGCATAGTAGGCCTAATTAAGCAGTTACAGCACTGCACAGTTTAAAAAACATGGCAGATTAATTCCTATAATTAAAAATGTTTATTATTGTCAACCGTTTTAAACATTATAGTTAGTTTGAACATTAACACTGTACTGTGCTGACAAGTAAAAAAACAAAATATAACATCAATGTTTAATTTAAAATGTGCTTTTAAAAGTTAATTAACAATTGTACTGTTCTTAAAAAGTAAAAATAAAAGTGCTGTACTTAAAAGCATTAACATGTAAAGCATTAACATAGCCTTTCTATCCAAACCTGGAAATGTTGCTTGGTTTCATATATAGGCTATGCAGGTCTGGCTCTGCGGGGGCCCTAAGCAGAATAATTTTGGGGCTCTACCTAGCTCTAAAGAGTGGAGTACTGCAGTTGCAAACTAGCCCACAATGACTTCATTGCTTATTAAATACAATCAATGAAGCAGAAAAGTAAAGCCTGATTTCTTCCACTTAATAACAGTCTGAACGATTTCAACATTTTAAAACAGCACTGTTTTCATCAACTAGCAGCTTCAAAATTTAAGGATTAGACAGTCTTTAATACCAGTGAGTCCTACTTTGCGTCCTTCTGGAGTGTTAAAAACATATTCTTTTAATTTAGTAAACAGATTGAAGATTCTATAAAAGGTTATAATGGCTTAAATTCAGATTTTCCAACTTTATAGTGGATACACGGCAAAATGCCTTTTTTTCTTGCTTAGAGAATTTGTCTTGTTTCTAGTCCAAATGTCTAAATATTCTTAAATCAAGAAGCATTTTCAAGACATGTCAAATATTGTGTCTTATTTTAAGAAACAATACGCCAATTTTAAGTGAGTTTTTACTTTAAAACCAGCACAATAATCTGCCAATGGGGTAAGCAAAATAATCTTGTTTTTCCTCTTGAAATAAGATTATTTTGCTTACCCTATTGGCAGATTATTGTGCTTGTATTAAGGAAAAAATTGCTTGCCTAGAAAATGCTCCTTGATATAAGAATTTTTAGATATTTGGACTAAAAACTAGACAAAAAAATTAAATAGGAGAAGCATTTTTTTGCTGTGTAGATGTTACACTGAACATCCACATCAATCATTTTTATGCCCGTACAAACAACAAATCAAATCTGTTTATTTATTCCAACATATTTATCTATTTATTTAACTTAAAAAATTTAAGTTTGATCTTTAAAAAAATTCTAATAATGCTTTTAATGGTCACACAAGCAAATCAATGCAAATGATGTACGCTGTAAAAACAGTCCACACAATTCCTTCATGTTGTCCCAGCACAAATCTAATAAGTTAACTTAAGAGTTTACAAATTTAAGTGGATTGAACATAAAACAATTAAGTTGTCCCCCCCAAAATCTGAATTGTGTTGTTTCAACTCATTTTGAATAAGTTTGAACAAATAATTTTTTAGTGTATTAGTTGTGTAGTACAAACTCATGTAACACAATTCAAACACTCCTGTTACTTCCATCCAGTTTTACCAACAAACAGTCACCAGAGGATGAAATAACAATTGCATTGACTACCAAATCGATTAACAGCGTTAAAACAACCAACGTACCTGTTCCACACACATCCACATCTACAGTATCCTCCGCTTCCATCCAGGCCTCCATTAGACTAATGCGGCCGCAGATCAATATCACCCGCACTGTGCCTGTTATCAGCGAGCAGGCGTTTCACTGATGCGCACAGACCTGTAAACCATCACACGGCACTAACACTCTCTCGCCTCTCCATGGTTACTCTGCATTTGGTGTAAATTGTGCTGACCCTCCCCACGACGGGCCGGTCAGATAAACTAACACTAACGCCATTATTACCTCCGTGTCCCTCAACACTACTATGCACCTCATATCCGGAGGTAAAAGCTTATAAAGCAATAAATGAGACGGAGGATTATACAAACAAATAATATACAAAACTGCTGGCATGAATGTAGGACTTGCACAACTGAAGCTTGTGCGCTCGTGGTTGCCTTGTTGTTATTGATGCAAAACTTGATGTATCAGTAGTAAACAAAAGATGCAAAATAATTCAGCTGAACCATGAAGCAATTATTATTTGTTCTACTTTGGTATTTTTAAATTTATTTAAAGGGATAGTTCACATAAAAACATTCATTTACACACCATTTACTTGTTTGAAACCTGTTTGAGTTAAGATATGTGGCAGAAGGTAGATTTTTCTGATGAATCATCTGTTGAACTGCATCTCAATCATCACAATACTGCAGAAGACCTATTGGAACCTGCATGCTCAAGATTCTCACAGAAATCAGTCAAGTTTGGTGAAGGAAAAATCATGGTTTGGGGTTACATTCAGTATGGGGGCATGCGAGAGATCTGCAGAGTGGATGGCAACATCAACAGCCAAGACTTTTGTGCTGCCCATTACTTTACAAACTAAAATAGAGGGCAAATTCTTCAGCAGGATAGCGCTCCTTCTCATACTACAGCCTCCACATCAAAGTTCCTGAGAGCAAAGAAAGTCAAGGTGCTCCAGGATTGGCCTGCCCAGTCACCAGACATGAACATTTTTGAGCATGTCTGGGGTAAGATAAAGGAGGAGGCATTTAAGATGAATCCAAAGAACCTTAATGAACTCTGTGAGTCCTGCAAGAACGCTTTCTTTGCCATTCCAGATGACTTCATTAATAAGTGATCTGAGTCGTTGTAGAGATGTATAGATGCAGTCCTATAAGCTCATGGGAGTCATACACAATATTCATTCTTTTCCACTGCACCATGACTTTATATTCTATACTGTACATCATTTCTGTTGACAGAATGTTTTGTTTTGAACTATCCCTTTAAATAAATATATATCAATAATCAAAATAATCAAGTCAATAGTTACCTATTATTAACATTCTTCAAAATATCTTCTTTTGTACTCAATAGAAAAAAAAAGAACTCATAAATGTTGAATGTTTTGTATGAAATATCCCTTTATTGCCTCATTTCATGCCCGGCTTATAATATATTTTCTAGTGAGGCTTCCTTCTGTGC